AAACCCTAGATCAAGGCAGAGGAGTACTTGCCTTTAGTTCTGGTAATGTGGAATAGAAGCTGTGTCCTTATTTAAAAGCTGAAGCTCCAGTTATTTCTGTACAAATGAGAAAGTATTTAAACACGATCCAGACTAATCGTGTGAGTTAAAGATTGTTTACAGACTAAATGGGGAAACTGTTACACTGCATTTATTTGACTGACAGTTTTCTGCATTTTTGGAACTAAAAAGGCTGAAGTTTTGGGTTTTTTTCACATCTATAAAAAAGTGTTGGTTTTTTTTTTTGTGAAGTATATTGTTATGCAGTTAATGAAAAATCCTAGTCAGGTTGCTTTTTAGAACTTTGTCTTAGGTTTCTTTACGTTTGTGCTTTATTTATTAATTATCTTATTCTGAACACACAAACAGAAAAATAGTACATCTTTGCCTCTTTTCTGTTACTGAACAACTTCATTTTGCTGAGTCTCTTTCCCCGAAAGCTGAGTTTCATGTAATACTCAAAATTTGAGCTGGCAATAGCGATTCATCTTCTGTGCCTCTCCACCTCACTGATGAGTCACTGGTGTTATTTCTGTTGGTTTTCTGCAGCTTCCTTGGAAAGCTCAGCCTGTTCGTTGCTGGTGCAAGCTCTTAATTTTCCTGCTGTGATGTACTCGGTCTCCTTACATGTACTAAACAGAGAGAACAGCCGTGCTGAGTTGCATATGAAAGTACGTTCTTCTCTGAAAACTGACTCTAAATACCTAACATAGCTACTTTTGCCATCTGTAGAAAAGTACTGGGTTTAGTTAGCATGGTATCAAAACAAATTTGGAGCCAAGTTTTCAGAAATTCTCTACTGCCATGTAGTTTCATTCCAGTAAAGGGAAAGCTGTGCTACTGTTTGAGCTTTTGTGTTGAAAGGATGTCTCTTGGGAGTAATGCAAAGTCTGCCTGCTTCCTTCATTTGGGAAAGCTCATGACCCAAATGTGGGCCTGCTGCAGCTACACATTATTCAAATCCGTACTGTTCTTTCCACCTTTTTGCCAAAACAACACCTTGACAACTTGTGGATTATGTCAACTCTTTAGAGCAAGCTTGGAGCCTGAACTGTGCCTCTGTTTTGTCCCCAGTCAGAGGGGGATCTCAGTCTCACGTATGTAATCTGGATGTGGGAAGTAATGTGGGAATTGATGTGGGGGGAAAAAATCAAAAATCTGTGCTAAGCAGTGTTGTGTCCCAGATTAGTGTGTGTGATACGTGTATGTCGAAAGGTGAACTAAGTGCTTACGAGTTCTTGTGGCTATCAGCACATGTCAGACGTGTGCACCGAAGTGCAACATCTCCAATGTCGAACCTCAGAGTGATGTGCAGCAATGAAGCTTTAGTGCAGGGGAGAGCCCAGAACAGACTTGATAGAAGTTTACTGGGAGAGGAGTAAGGGTGACCCTGTGGGGAACGAGAGCAGAGAATTGAGTTGTGAGGGTGACTGGTGAGGTGATGCTTGTGGTATCGATGGGGCTCGGGTTGGGTGGAATCTGGAAGGAACTGGAAGAGGTTGGAAGGAGATGGGGAAAGCTGCCCGGAGGGGCCCTGGGAACAGGATGTGCCATCTCACTCCTTCATTCCTTTTCCTTGAGGTGACAAGTTCACAAAGGTGTGATTTTTCTTCCTGGAGTCTCTGCCTTGCTGTGTGCCTTTTCCCATTAGTACTGTGGGATAGACACCCCTAGGACACTGCAGGCTGTGTCTGGGGTGCCCATCCCCTGGGCAGGGGGACCATGCTATCTCTGTTTCCCGAGGCACTACTGGTGGTGCTTTTCCTTACCACAGTGTGTAGGCAGGATGCAGGCGGCCCAGCACCGCCTGTTGAGCAGATGGCTGCACTTACGATAGGATGTACAAATGCGCCTTGGGTCATTTGACCCTGTAACTATCCAGTCCTGCAACCACACACGCTGGTCAAGTGACAGGAGAGCTTGCTGCTCAGTCTGCTGGTGCGCATGCTTCTAGCCCTGTGACAGGGAGGACTTCATAGGGGGAGAGGCAGGCTGAGACAGACGAATTTTTTTCTGGTTCACTGTAGTTTGGGCATTTAAAGAACGCTTGATGGTCAGCAGAGTGTGCAGCAGCTGCTTGTGAAGAGACAGCGCAGTACAGGGCAGCGTTACGACAGTAACGTTCAGTTGTCCAGTGTGCTAATGGCCTCATAGGAGAGGTACCACCTGGAAGTAGTGAATAGCAGCACTGTGTGTGTCTGGGTTGCAAGAGGTGTGTGAAAGAAGAGTCCACCAACTTTGCAGATACTGTGGCTTTGTGCATGTGGCCAGAACTTTTTCAGCCTTGACAGAGCTGAGCAGATACTCATCCCAGCTCATGTCAAAGCAAGGGACTCATTGTTTGTTTGCAATTGTTTATAACTGATCGGCTGGAAAAAAAGTATTGGCTAAAAATTCCCAAGGATGTAATCCCTAAATGGATGCACTTGCATGTGATAGGACTGAATTTCATACATGTACCATTATGCCAAATTTACAGATTTTTCTGTGCTATGCCAGTTACCATCTTGATGATACCTACTTGTTCATGTCTCGTGTATGTATAATTGATGCGCTCCTTGTTTATGTATCAATATTGTTCCAAAGCAATTTTGTAAAAAGACAATGGTGGTAACTCCTCCAGCCTAATGAACTTCTGATACCACCAGTAGCAGCTTCCATTTATTCAGCTCCCTCTACTAATCCTTGCTAACCTTACCGACTAGGAGCAATCATTTTACCCAGAGAACTTTACTGAATGTTGTACTAAAGTCCACACAAGTAAGGTGTGCCGTATTTCTTATTTCTAGAAATCAGTTTGCAAAGGCATTGGCTGCCTTTGCTATGGCCATGCTATATTTGATCCCCTTCTCTCTTTCTTTTACGTAGCTTATAATTTATAAATGCCCTAATTTATGTGATGGGACGCTCTGGAAAGGGCATTCTCCTCCCCTTCTGTTGAGTTTGTGTATACTTCACAGAAGAGAGTCCTGGATTCAGAGGGGCAAAGAAGGCACCAGAAGGTTCAAGACTTTCTGTCCTTGCCCAGAGAGAGAGAGATGTCTTTGAATCTATATGTGTTGAGAGAGGTGATTTAGATTTAAGAAACATACCCTGGCTTTGTATTTATTCTGTCATGGCTTTGTTCTGCTTTCTACTCTTTTGTCTTTTGCCAACATCTCTAGGCTGTTCTCTTCACCAGTTTCTCCACCCCTTTGCTGACAAAAACATATATATCTTTTGTATACCTAACTGTGAAAAGTATTGTATACGCATGAAACTAAGAGATCTGCAAGAAATGTTGTTATTCAGGATATCGCACCACCATTGAAAAGTTAGGCTAAAAAGGAAGAGCCTTCAACTGTCTTGAGAAACACCCATGCACACATCCTGTATGTACACGTTTGTGGAATAAGGTCTGATGAATTGCCTGAAGTTTTCTAGCACCAGCAGTTGTACCAGATGTTGGTAAGGCTGAAGGCTGCTGGACTTTATTTTTGAAGCTAAGGAAAGAAAGATGGAATAAGAACAAGGTCAGCACTGGCAAGGCCACATCTGGAGGACTGTCCAGTTCTTGGCTTCCCAGTACAGGAGAGGGTGAGGTACTGGAGAGAGTCCAATGAGAGGCCATGGTGATGGTTAGTGCCCTGGAGCATCTCTCCTCTGAGGACAGGCTGAGAGCTGGGACTGCTCAGAGATGGCTCAGGGGGATCTCTCCAGGGTCTATAAATACCTGAAGGGAGGGTGCAAAAAAATGGAGCCATGCTCTTTCTGGTGGTGCCCAGTGACAGGACAAGAAGCTTATTGAAATATTGAATATAAATATTCAAGGACACGCAGGTTAGGAGGAGAAGGTTGACACTGAAAATGGTGGTATTTTACAGCTTTTTTTGCAGTACCTTCATTTGTGAAAAGGATCGTGCTGGGTTTGGTTGGGATAGAGTTAATTTTCTTCAAGCAGCTTGTATGGGGCTAGGTTTGGATTTGTGCTGAAAAGAGTGTTAGTAACGTAAGGGATGTGTTAGTTATTGCTGATCAGCGCTTGCACAGTGTCCAGGCCTCTTCTGCTCCTCACCCTGCCCTGCCAGTGAGCAGGCTGGGGGTGGGCAAGGGGCTGGGAGGGGACATGGCTGGGACAGGGATATTCCATACTGTAGGATGTTGTGCTCAGCAGTAAAAGCTGGGGGGAAAAAGGAAGAAGGGGGGGATGTTTGGAGTGATGGCATTTGTCTTCCCGAGTCACTGTTATGCCCCTTTTTACCCTTTGAGTCTCTCCCCATCCCAGCCGGGGGGAGTGAGCGAGCGGCTGCTGGGCTGAGCCACACCAGGTTCAACCACAGCAAGGGCATAACCTGCTGGTGTAACTGCACACTGTGGAGGGCCAGTGTCTTCCAGGAAATTGGGATAAAACATTAGGATTGATGACTCATGATAAAAATGAAACAGGAATAGAGTGACTTCTAAAAAGTGTTTTATATTTTGGTCATACAATGTATCCCAACTGTGTACATAATGTCAGTACTGTCAGTAATGTATATCTTATTTGTGAGGTTTTAATTTCAAAGCAATGTAGACTTTTTCCTGTGACTAGCCTATCATTATTATTCTGCTTTTTTACCTAGTTGCCTTTGTTGCTGTTTTTATTCCTGAGTTTTCTCAATAACTTATTACTCCCTGTAAAGTGAATCCTATATTTTAAATCCTTTTATCTTACTAAGAATGATAGAATATTATGGAGATAGCAATTCACACAGTTTAAAACTTTTATTAACCTGAAGGGAAGATGAATGAGCTGTTGTCCTAATAAGGAGAGAAATATAGCAAAGTCAACTTCATACAGCTTCAAAGAACCTGCCCCTTGCATAGCCAGGGAAGAGTAACAGCTTCTTCAACCTGTGAAGATAACCAAGAGAACCTGCATGCATGTGTTTGAAGAGGTCTGTTGCAAATCTTTTAAACTGATTCTCAATTATGTGCTGTAGGAGATGAATATGATGTCTGTGCCATTTGTCTGGATGAATATGAGGATGGAGACAAGCTCAGGATCCTTCCATGCTCTCATGGTAAGCGGCTGTATTTTAGGTTTGGTATTGGTATAAAAACAGCTCTCTAAAAGACCATGTCTAAAAATCATAGTGAATATGTTTGTTGATTGATTTATAAAATTTTTTTTGCTAATATGCAGGAGTGTATATACAAATTGGGAAAAGAGTATTTTTTTCTCTTTCTAAAAGCAAAAAAGGCTGGCATTCCCACTTGGCATTTTTCTTTGGATGTACACGATAGAAAATCTGGGCTTGATGGTGTCCCCTAAATGTCTGTATTTAACAGGGAAGCATATTCCAGAGTTACTTTTTACATTTAAAAAAATGGGCTTTCATGTTCTCAAAGACAAACCATAAAACAGTTCAGCTATCAGTGACATGGAGATACGGATGAAGGGATACAGTCTGTCCCGTAGCCTGAAGCCATACAGACCTCTGCCGTGGCTGCACCTGGAAGTCAGTGTCGTCAGTGCAAAAATTGGTGGAGTATTTTTACTGTGACAAGTTGTGCACTGTCTGCAGTCTTTCTCAAATACAGTCCCCTGCAAAAGGTGTATCTAGCAGTCACATCTGTGTCTGTGCCAAGACAAGACTGCTCTTAACTGCATGCGAGTACAAGAAGTATTTTGAGAGCTTATATCTAGAAATCTGGAAGAGGTCTGGGCCCAAGAGTGTCTCTAAATTTAATTTTTTTTATAGAAGCTGTGTAAAATCTATCAAGAAAGACAGGATTCATCCTGCCTGGTGTGAGAACCTCCCTCTACTGCCGATTCCATTAACTATTTTAGAACTGCTTTGGCTGGATGCAGTTTTACCCACCTTTTTCTCATTGAATTCCTGCTCTGACCAGGCACTGCAACAGCAAATGTCATCACTAAGAGATTTTTAAAAAGTAGCAACTGATGTCCCAGCCTTACGTCAACAGCAAACACAGCAGATGACAGACTGAGCTTTGTAGATCCTCATTCATAAAAAGAATTTAAAAACAGGCTGACAGGGAGTTCTCAGAAGAAAGAACAAATCTGTAGCAGCTGACCCAGCTAGGGACTGCAAAGCTAACTAAACCTGGTCACCAGTATCAAAGATTGCTGACAGATAAACAGACAAAAAACCCCAAACACCACCATCAGGTCCTGTGGAGAACATGCTGCTAATGTGCTGGAACAGATAATAAACACAATGCACTTGCCCTTGTCCCCAGCTCTTTGCCAGATAGAAGTCTCTTGATAAGCAGAGCTAACTTTTTAATACCCTAAGACACTTTACAAGACTTTTTTTAAAAAAGGCCATATAGTTGCAGTGCCAACTGCAGACCCAATTTAAAATGCACAAAATCATGCAGTAATTTTATTTAGTAACAAGGTGCTTCAATACAGTCTTGGAGGAGATCAGAAGCATTATGAGGGTAATGGTGGTGGGCATGTGTGCTGCAGGGTAGCCATAATTCCTCGAAGCTTTTAAAGTCGATTTCGTCAGACATGGCCCATTTGCAGGGCTGTTCTCAGATTTATTCAGTAGAGGAAATAGGCATTTATTGTATATATCTGTATGTCTGAGATCCTAATCTATTAGGCATTTTGTGCATAAGGATAGACAGTCTACATGCCGACAAACTTGTAACTAAAATTCTGAGTTGAATTTTAAAATTCTCCTGTTACTAAACATAAATATAGTTTAGGAGGTTTCCTTGTCCTTTTCACTTAGATAACCATGTCCTTGTATTTTGTTTTCTAACAGCGTATCACTGCAAGTGTGTGGACCCGTGGCTGACAAAAACAAAAAAAACATGTCCTGTGTGTAAGCAGAAAGTGGTCCCTTCTCAGGGGGACTCTGACTCTGAAACAGACAGTAGTCAAGAGGAGAATGAAGTATCTGAAAATACTCCTTTGCTCAGACCATTAGCCTCAGTCAGTACTCAGTCGTTTGGGGCTTTGTCAGAATCTCATTCCCATCAGAACATGACTGAGTCCTCAGAGTATGAGGAAGATGACAATGACAATATTGATAGCAGTGATGCAGAAAATGGAATAAACGAAGAAAGTGTAGTGGTTCAGCTCCAGCCCAACGATGAAAGGGAGTACAGAGCAGCAAATACTGTTTGAGACTACTAGTGATTAATAGTTTATGAACAAAACAGTTCTTAAGGCTATCCTTTACAAACCTTTGCGTAGGGAATATATTTTAATCTGTAATCCATTTGGTTTACTTCAATAGGAGCAGCAGTTCATGTAGTAGTACTATGGTTAAATCATTACAGGTAGATTTATTTTTGATTCAGGTATTCAGTCACACATTCTGTCTTCTCAAAATGAACAGTTTAACTGGACTTCACAATGCTAATGAATAATGTTAATAGTTTATATCTCACAGACTCTAAATGTATCTTGTTGAAATGGGATTTATCTGGAAGTATTTTTTTTTTCCATTTTGTAGCTACAACTGGGTCATACTGATAGCAATATTGATTATGTGTATGGTATGTGTTACCCCTTAAGCCCAAGGAAAAAATGGTTTTGCATGTTTCTATAGAGTTTTCCTAAAAACTGTCACCACTACTGAAAGAAAAATGTAGAACAGATCCATATTCGATGTGCTGGTGTATCAAAACAAAGCAGGAGAAACTCCACTTTTATCTCCAAGCAGGGATTCCAAACAATCCTTGGGAGGTTGCCACAGGCCACAGTAGCTGAGTTTAAGCAGTTCCATGGAGCAATTCCTAGGATGAGGAGACTTAGAATAGATGTTCAGTTTTGAGCAATTCACAAGGTAAGATCCACTGTAAACGCATTAATTTTCCCTACTTGCTACGATGATGTAGTCTGGTTTCCATGATGGGGGGGGGGTGACCAAAACGGGGGGGTTTGTTCCACATAGAAAAGTTCTATGTAGAAAAATAATTCTAAGTATTCAATTGATCCTCAACTCGTATACCTCTTACTAAAGAGCATTTTATGCTGCGTTAGTCTGATAAACTATGTATATAGAAAAATTGTTCTTTTCAAATTTCTGATTTGAAAAACAAGTGCTTATAACTGTTTAACAGAACTCAGTGCTTACCAGTGTATCATGAAAAAGGTAAATGATATCTAATACCTCTGTAACTATGTAGAAAGTAAAAACAAACATAATCAAAATGCAGAGATTTTTTTTATATGGCCTTGAATAAGGAAAGATTGAAAGAATGTTAATAAACATGTTTTCCACTTTCAGTATCAAAAGGGGTTTATTGAGCTTTTGCGTTACTTACATTCATTTTGTACATTTATTACTAAGGTTGAAGTATTTGTAAAGATACGGAACAGGCAGCAGTTCAGATCCCTTCGTGAACATTAACCAACCCTGCGCTGTAAGTCACTTACAGAGGACTGTGCTGGTCAGTCCTGTCTGTGGTAGGACTAATTTTGTTAATTTTTAGTTTGAGGAGAGGTGTGGATCAGTTGGGGTCTGTACATGTAATTTGTAGGGGTGCTGTTCATATTTCCTGCGCCCCATGCCAGCACCACTAGAGCTGCAGTCCGTGAGCCGGTCGGTGCTCTGGAAGTCGGGAAATGCCGAATCTGGGGCTGAGGCGATTGCAGGTGAGGTGCCTCCGTTTGTTATTTCTGACCTAATACTCGGTGCAGCTTCACCTGCCTTGCTCTGACTGGCAATGGAAATCAACTCTCTGGGACTGGCCAAGGTATTTCTCAGAACGACGCATGGTAAAGGGGTAATAATGGAAGAAGTACTCATCCCCAGACCACTGCCACCAGCAATCCGTGGAGTTAATTACAATGTGTTACTGTCACTGTGTAAAATTCTCCTTCCATTTGCGTATGTCTGGTTAAGCCCACATGTGAAAACTGATTTCTGAAAACTGACTCAGCTGAAAGATGTTTCTCAGAACAGGTTCCTGCTGTTGGTGCGTTGTGAGCATGTGTCTATTCGTAGTTGCATTTCGGGCATCCCAAAACCCAAAGAGATCCAGAACCATGAACTGAAGTAGACATGATAACCTGTGTGATGTGTAACCCTGGTTGTAGTATTTGCTGCAATGACAAAAAGTAAAATAATGCTCTTTTTGTCAGTTTCTCACCTGCTGCTCTCCATGCTATGCAGATGCATGCAGCAAAGGATATACGGTTTTCATACTAGGCATTTTTTTAAAAAAGGTTCCATCTTCTAAATTTCCTAATGGCATTAATGTAAACTTTATTTTAGCGGGCCTTGGCAGTAACCATTGTAGTGCTACTGCCCCGCCACACCTCCCTTGTGCCATAGACACAGGTTACTTGTCTGTTGCTGTTGTCAGTGAGAATGAAAATAGAATTCATTATTAGAAATACTTTGGAAGTTTAAGTATCTCTGAGCATTTCTAAGTAGAATTTGTACATTGCATTACAACTTGCTGGATAAATCTTCTGCCTCAAAAGGTATGGCCTGT